AGTCAAGGACAGAAATTCAGCCCAACATCTTGTGGAGGGGCGGGAGGAGCCGGGGGCAGGCTTGGGCGCAGGAGTCAGGCACCCTGGCTGGGAGAAACTGCTTTGACAAGCACAGGGATGATAGAGGCAAGCAGGTGGAATCCGACTGTCCAGGTACCTCCTTCAGAGGCTCCTCAGCCCCTTGCAGAGGGAGCTGCTGTCTCAAAGACCTTACCTGGGCAGGTAGTTCCTGGGTTCCTGTCCTCTGCAGCAGGGACACTTCCAGGCATCATGATGACCCTGTTTCTTTTTCAAAGTGCTTTCACCGTCATGACTCACACATTGCATTCACCAGGGAGGTATCAGGCTTCCAACTTATTCCATTCCCCTCCCTCCCGGGTCTTTAGGGAGCTGCCCGGGAAAGGAGGGGGTGGATTTGCCCCTGGGCCTTGAACCCCTGCAGAAGGCCAGGAGCTTGGCACAGCGGCACCTTTCACTTTCCTGTTGCCTGACCCTCATCCTGGCGGTGAGCCGCTCTAGGCCAGGCTAGTCCACGGTGGTGAGGTGGGAGGGGAGGGGTGCCAGGGAGAGGAAGTCTCTGCTAATCATTCCTCCAACTCTGCTGGGTCCTTGAAATCATGGCCAGCTGCCACCCCCAGCCCCCTTGACTCAACACTCGGCTTCCTCATCTCAAAGCAGAAACGCATTTACCCTAAAATCCAAATCTCCCTCTTTGCTGAGTAGTTGCAATGCTTTTGGCCAGAGTCCTCCCCAGCATCCAAAGTCAAGCTTCCCTCTGTCCTGTCCCCTGAGCCATCTCTGCGAGGCACAGGCCCCTGCTGGGAGATGGATGTATCTCCCGACCACTCTCCCCCCACCCCTTGCCGACAGGGCCCTAGCTCCTGACCGCACTGATAGAGGGGTGTGCGTCAGGCTGCATCGGAGGAGGAGTACCTCTGTGTTCCACTGAGTCTGCAGGAGGGCGCCAAGTGCCAGGCCCTCCCTGGGGGGCCAGGTTCGGATTCCTCCTGGATTCCCCTTGCCTACCCCTCTGTCTCCCTCCCTTGCCCACTGTGGGTCTCTCTTTACTTTCCCAACTCCACTCTGCATTGGTGCGGGGAGAGAGCATTTGATATTCATAATCTGGTTCAGAGAAGGTCCCGAAGCCCTGAGTCACTGTATGGTTTCCATGGAAACAGACTTGTTCAGAGGGCTCGGTGTAGCGGCTGTGGTGGGGGAGAAGGGAAACATATAGTAAAACCAGGCTCCACAAGTGTGGCGGGACTTGGACCAACTCCCTTTGGTGGGGATCGTGAGGTGTGGGGAAGGCTCTGGCCTCCCCATAGGAGGGGCTGCCTCTCCCCACCCACTGGGGTCCCGTCATTGGGAGCTGCTCAGCTGCTTCTGTGGCTCTTGGCAGAATGCTGCTTCTCCCATGGACCTTCTGGCTAGATTCTCCAGGCTCATGGCTACCGCTCCCTGCCTTAGTTTCCCCTTCTGTAAATGGAGAAAAGAACACCTACCTGACAATGTTTTTGTGAAGGTCAAATGCAGTAATAGATGAGACACACTTAGAATGGTGCCACAGTAAGTGCTCCAGTGCATCATTCCTAGGAATTAAGTCAGGGCATTGGAAGAAACTCCCCAAGCATGTTCACCTAGATCCCTACCCTGGGTCCCAGCAGGCGGTCCTGACATCCTGCTTTGAAAGAGCCTCTCCCCTGCGGCCCCAGCACATCCCCAGCTGGGAAGCAGCCAGCCATTTCTTTCTACAGAGCATTTGTTTCAGGTTCCTGAGGGCCTGGCACAGTGCTAGGCAGCCCTGGGTTTTGTTCAGACCCCACCTGTCTAGGAGCCTTGTGGGAGCAAATCCAGATAGGAGGGGTTGGCCCTGGAGCCCCTTGGGGTTGGGGCAGACAGGGAGGGGCAGAAGAGGTCCAGGCAGAAATGATGGCCCTCTGTGACAGAGTGAAGGCATTGGGGTGGGGCAGGCCACTGTCACTGATCCTGGAGAGGCTGGTTCATCTGGCTGGAGAAGCATCTATCTCCGTCTTCATTAGCTAGAGAGGGACAGGGAACTCTTCAGAAAGGTAACAAATCCTGCACACTCTCCTAACCCCAAATTAGAACCTCTAGCACTCAGGTGTTCCTAGCATGCCCCAAGAGTCTGGACAGTCTTGGGTTCCCGCCTGAGCAGCTGCTGATCTGCTATCGTCCTGCCTGCTGGGGCAGGGCAAGGGGCTCCCCGTCACTGCCTGCTCAGCAGTATTGAGGAGCGAAGCTAGGGGAGATTCTGGGTGCCACTGATGCCTCAGCCTGTTTCCCTCACTGGCCCTTCTCTCTCACTGCAGCCCTCCCCTCCGTGGCCCTCAGGTTCCCTGCTCCATGGCAGGGCTCCCTCCTCCCCTCCTGTAACATGGGCTTCAGCTCCAGGCTTAACGACACCCACACCCATCACAACCAGCTGTCAGAGCTGCAAAGCATGCTCTTTATGCGCCGGCCCTTCCTTCTATTTCACAGATGGGAAAACTGAGATTCCTGGGGTTGGCTGTATGGCCAGAGCCCAAACTAGTGTTAGCCTCTCTCAGCTACACACCAGCCCTGGGGATCCCCTTCCCTTCTTGCCGGCTCTCCAAGCAACCCCAGCTGCCGCCCGGCATCCCCCGGACACCCCCTGCCAGCTCTCGGTTCCTGCCAAGGTTCTACCCACCGCAGGTCCCTCTGGAGCATTTTGCTGTCCTCATTGGTGTTCACAACACCTTCCAATTTAATATCCTCTGCAAATTTCATTAACGGACTGTTTACTCCCTCTCTCAGGATCATTAATGAAGATGTTCGATAAGATCTGACCCAATGCTGAGGCTTGGCAGCCCTGCCCCCACTCCCAGACTCATGGCCCTCCAGCCCCTTCCCCTGGGCTTGCTTCTTCCACCCCGGGCCCTTGGGACCTGCCCCCTCCTGCTATTATGCCCCATGACAAGTGCTTAGGGCCAAGTCTTTTTGAATTAATTTTATGAGGTTACTCGAGGCACTGTATCAAATGCTTTGCTAAAAATCAAGATATATTACCCTGCCTGTGTTTCCTTCATCTACCAGTCTTGTAATTCTATCAAGAAAGCTATCAAGTTTGTCAGGTATGATTTGTTCTTTATAAATCCCCATGGTGCCGCATGGGGGCACAGGGTTCCCGCGTTTTCTAAATGTTTAGAGATTCCCTCTTTGTGTTTGCTCCTTGATTAGAGCTGGAAGGCGGGGTGCTGGGAATTGTCAGGAATGCTGTCTCTTTCCTGGGGACGGGGAAGAAGGCATGGCTCCTTTTCTTCTCCTGAGTTTTCTGCCAGTGTCAGCGAGTTGTTTAGGACCCACTGAGTCCCTGCAGTGTGTGTGGGGCCCTAAGCTTGGCACTTGGGGAGGAGGGATAGGAGAGAGCTGGGGAGGGAGATGGGGGGGCCTGGTGAAACGGACAGGGCAGGTGAAACAGACAGATGAGCCTGCTGCAGACATTCTGAAGCTACCATTGATTGAGAGATTGCTGCGCGCCAGTCACTATGCTAACAGCTTTCCATGCCTGATGCCATTTAAAACCTTCGCCTGTGCTGGGAGAGGACTGTGACCTCCCTTCACCTGAGTACCTGAGAATCAGAAAGCGTTAAGGCTGCCCAGGACTCAAGGTCTGGGTTTACCCTCTGTTTATGCTGTTATGCTGCTCCTAGCCATTTTAGACACACAGAAAGGATCAAAAAGCTGAAGTGGTTTGGAGTTTTTAGGAGGTCAGAGTGGGGATGGAAGGGAAGCCTTGAGGGAGAGCTTTGGAGAGGTGAGGACCTCTCACACACAACCCCCAGAGCCTGAAATCTGTTCTCTCTCTGCCACTTCCGAGTTGCATGAAGAGGACCCTTAACTTCTCTGAGCCTCAGTCCCTCACCTGTGAAATGGATTCATCTGTAGTTCTTGCCCCTAGGCTTGCAGAGAAGATCCAATGAGGTGAAGCGTGAAAGGTTCCTACCTTAGTGCTAGGCCGACATTGTATATGTGTCCTACAATGGAGGTCCATGTTGATGGTGGCCAGACACTCATCTGGTTGGCCATATGCCCAGCGGATGGAGCTGTGGCCCCTCCTAATGCTTCTTACCCAGCCGAAGAGGGGTGAGCCTTGCTGGCATCCCAGCCCAGAGGCATCCTTGGGACCAGCTGTGGGCTGGTGATAAGCTTTCGGCTTAGAGAGCAGGGAAGCCTCAGCTGGGCGGAGAGCCCAAACCCGATGCCCCATTCCAGACTATTTCAGACCAGATGGTAATAAAGACATTCTTCGGTGTCTTTCTGGAGGCATAGGATTTGGGTATTCCTGGGCTCCCTGGCCATAAAACCACTCAAAGCTGCGTGCGGGAAGCACAGTGCGTTTGGGCTTCTGCCTATCAGGTGCAGCAGTCCCGTGTTGACACCCACTTGGGATCATTTTCATTTGTGTCATTCAGCCAGGGAGGGAGAACCCTCCGGGAAGCAGTGAGATGGTACACACCCATTGGTATGCCAGGGAAACCAGCCAGGAAGGGCTGCATTGGCAGCCCCAATCCCACCAGCAGGTGCCCCAGGGACCTGCCCCTGGGGGATGGCCAGTAGGTATCAGATGAGCCAGTATCTGGGTTGTGGTTGAATGCTGTGATTGAGATTGGCACTAATGTGTCCTGGGACCCTGGTGGCAACCTTGGCCCTGGTGCTCCCTGTCCCTCCTTCTGGCTGTGTGGTGCTCTTGGGTATGGCCTGGGGGTTTAAGCTCTGTGATTAGGGCCAGGGCTTGGGAATCCTTCGAACTGAGTCTGAATCCTGGCACCACCACAGGCTACCTGTGCATGCTTGACCGAGTTCCCACACTTGCGGAACCTCGCTGCTCCTCGTCTGTGAAAGGTGGCAGTGGCACCTGGCCTGTGGGATGCGTCCCCTTAAGGGAGCCATGTCTGTGATCACCACTGGGTATCCGCGTCTGCAGTCTCCTCCATCCCATCTAAGGCTCAGGTGAGTCTCAGGGTCCTGTTCATTCTCCACCCGCAGTCCTTGTCCCCATGGGGCCAACCAGGCCTCATGTACAGGTGGCCCAGGCTGGAGACTCCTGGATCCAGAGACAGGCGGGCCCCTCTCCCAGCCTGGCCGGCAGCAGCCGCCTGAGTTCCAGCTCCTGTTGATGTTTGCCATCCTTGAGGCTGGGAGGATGGCTGGAGCCCCGGTGTCCAGGGGGTGGGGCCTCGGTACTATTCCAACTCTGACTGTGGCTTCTCGGTGGGGGCGGGGGACAGGAAACCGGGGCCTTTCCGCCCAGTGTCGGGGCTGCAGAGTCCCGCCTACCGCAGGCCAGGCTATACCAGGATTGGCCTGAGACAGGGAACCGTGACCTTCTGACTCATCCCTCCCCCAGAGGAGCTGGGCACACTGGGGCCTTGTGTCGTGGCCAGGAGGTCAGTCACTCTCCCCACTGCTGGGGAAAACTTTCCCCTTGGGTCGGGCCTGGGACCCCCCGCCCCCACTAGCACCCTCCACGGCAGGATGTGAGGTGCCCTTACCCTGGGCCAGGTCTCTGCAGCAGAACAGCCAGGGTCTTTAATCACGCAGGCTGTTGGCGCTTTAGTGGAGGAGGCTGTGGCATCTGTTTTAACTTTTAAAAACATTTCCAGGCCAATGGTGCCTCTGTGGGTTTAGTAGTCCATAAATATCATGCTCATGGCTCTTAATAAGCATTTGCTGTGTGCCCAGCACTGTGTTAAACTGTAGGCATCCATCAGCCTTCTGCCTCACTGCCCGCATGTTACAAATATGTGATTGTTTCTCCCATTTCCTACATAAGGACAAATGAGGCCTGTATAGAGGTTAAGTGCCTCGACCAAGGTCTCATAAAAAAGCAGCAGCGGTCGGATTCAAATCCAGGCCTGTGTGGCCCACAGCTGGGGTGCTAACCACCCCAGACTGCCTTCCTGATTGCCTGTGGGTACCTTCTCTAGGAGGCTTGAGACATCCAGGGTGTCATGTGGACATTGGCGTGCTCTGCCCTGGAGACACCAGAGCTCATAAGAGGCAGCTGGGCAGCCCTGTCGACCATGACAAATCAGCAGACCAGTCGCTCTCCGGTGCTTGTTTTGGAAACCGTGACTGAGAGCTTGTCCCCACTGGAGGTGCCCAGAAGATGTAGTAATTCTGCCTGTGGGGCCCGGGGACTCTAGGGATTGTTTGCAGGTGCCATGTTTGTGGTGGTTCGGGTTCTGGAGAGCGGGTCCGTAGACCTCACAGTGTTTCAAGTTGAAGTGGGCCTGACCCCAAAGAGAGCGGGTCCCCTGGGCTGACCCAGACCACAGGCGCTGAGTCTGGACCCCAGCAGCTCATCCCCCTGGAAGGTCGCACTGGCTGGATTGTTTGTTGACATAGTGCCCACATGGAAGGATGCTCTAGGACACTGTCCCATGAAACTCATCTTTGGGTTTCTTAGGTACAAGGTCTTGAGGACGGGGTTCATGGTGGCACACGTACAGGGCTCTGTAAGAACTCCCTCGGGAGAAATCTTGCACTGGATTCAGTGTCAGGAATACCTGGACATCTCTTGAGTGAATGCTTTAATCTTTATCTCATGGGTCCTCTGAAACAAGTAAATGAAATATTTCCCTTTTCCTACGGGCTGCCAGGAAGCTCTGACCTAGATCAGTAGCCCACAGATGGTGTGACTCTTGTACACTGACTTGGCCTCTGGTTCTTTCAGACTCTTATACTCTTGTTTTCCCCTTGCCTTGCCTCATTTTCATCACCTCATTTTCCTTAGGAAGAAAAACACCTTGGTATTTTATGTGTTTTAGCCTTAACTAAACAAACATGGATGGTGGATCAGTGCTGGCTACGTCAGAGCCAGGGAGTAAGCATTTCCCCTCTGCAGTCTCCATCCTAGAGACCGTTTACCAGCTCCTCCCTCCCTGTCCCATTCTCTTGTCCCTTGCTCCCGTTCCTGGGACCCCAGAGCCTTGGAGCCCCATCCATCATGGCTCCTGAGTCTGTCCGGAAAGACGACGTTCAGGTTCTTCCCCAGCTGCCCCCACCCCACTGTGCTGCTTGTTCATCCCCCAGGGCTTCACAGTAGTTTTTCAGGGAGAAATGTCTGGGAGAAGAGTCATTTCCCCAACCTAGGGCTCAGCTGCTCCCGTAGCCACAGGCCCCTGCTGAAATCCAGCTTTATTTCAGCTCCGGACCTGTCTCAGCAGTGCCCGGCTGCCTACTGTCCTTAGCGGCCCACCTGAACAGACAGAGCCCATTTCTGGTGGGAAAGCAGTGCCGGGGCCTTGGACACAGGGGTGGGGCTGGCAGTGCCCTGGGGGGAGGGTGGGAGGCACGGTGAGATGCCAGGGCTGATTTTCAGCACTGCACCCTGTCATAAATCACCTGTCCCTACATGGAGTGGCCTCACTGTGTCGCCCACAATTAATACTCAAACTGAATCAAAAAGCTCAGTGTAAATGGTGCCTCCTCCCACCCCAGTCTCCTTGAGGCCCCCTCCCTCTGGGGCATCTCCCGTTACTAGTTCAGTGCCAGCTCTTTCAGTGATTGTTTACACATATATACAAATATACACGTCCATCTCCTTAAAAAAATCTGAAATGGTGGTGTACTACTGCACACGTGTTTTCTGGCCCTAGCTTTGGAAACTCAATAAACTATGCTGGGTGACTGTTTCTATCAGTGTATTCATGTCTGAGGAGCCTTCTCTGACACAGCCGCTTGGAAGGACAATCCCCCGGACAAGCTAATAATGAATGGGGTAAGCTTCTAGGAAAGGGTGGGGTGCCCATGCGTGGACTTTCAGAGGTTCGGGGAACTTCTAAATTGTCTGTGTAAAATTGTGGGCATTAATGGAATTTCTCAGAGGAGGGATTGTGGTTCGAAGGGTCTGTGGCCCAGAAAAGGTGAAACAAGGCCTCTCAGCCCTGGGTTTCATGGGATTTCTGTACAGCACAAGGTGGGGGCCAACTTGGCAGAATTGGCAGAGGGAAGCACCCCTAGTTTTTTTTTGGCCCCCTCCATCCCCCAGGGCTGCCACAGATCAGGCTGAGGTGGGGGGACAGAGATGCCCAGCCCTAGAATCTTCTTGGAAGATGACTGAGTTTTTCCCATTCCCAATGCAGGGTCCCCCTGTCTGCTGTGTGGGTGGCCCCGACTGTGCCTGAGAACGAAGTCTGGGGCCTTCCTGGGATTATAGAAGCCCAGGGTGAGAGGTGGGAAGCCCTTGAGTTGTCACTGGATCTATGGTATAACCAAGGCACAGAGAGGCCAGGGGGGTGAGTGCAAGGTCACCCATCCAGGGAAAAGCAGAGGCTGTGTGGGCCGATCCTGCCTGTGACATTCAGGTCAGCGCTCCTTCCCTGCCAGAGCACCGTGAGATGAGCAGGAGAGGCCCTCGGGAGGAGGCAGGGCTGCCTGTTGCTGCTGGGCTCTCCCTGTGCGGCTGGGGTGGGCGTGCACGGCGCAGAAGCCGCAGCCAGGGTGGGCGTGCCATCCTCAAACCTCACAGCATCCTGCAACATCACCTCCGGCCGGCTGCATCCTCACGTCAGGTTGGAGCCAGCAGCCCCAGAATTCTGAACACAGCAGAAACTACAGGACTCCGAGGCTGCACCGCAGGATGTGGTCACTAGAGGGCAGCAGGAAAGCCACTGCGGTGGCCCAGCAGGAAGAAGTTCCCAGGCCGGGAGAGGAGCCGCAGGAAGAAGGGGCCGTGGGCAGAGCCAGACCCTGGGGCCTGCGGGGTGATTTGTTCTAGGCCCTTCCCTGAGACAAAAAGCAAACCACACACTTACTGATGATAGTATTAATTGACATTTAGCGAGTGCTTACCCTGCGCCAGGCACTGTACTAATGAATCCTCACAACAGCCTTGTTATCATTACCCTTATTTTTGTGTGTGAGAACACAGAGGCCCAGAGAGATGAAGAAACCTAGCCAAGGTCTCCCAGCCAGTAAGTGGCTGAGCTGGGATCAGCAGGGCTGGTGTCAGAGGCTGGGTTGTATCTATATGCCTGGCGTTGACTAAATGCTTTAAGGCCTTCAGTGCTTACCACCACTGCTGAGCTATGCCCACCTTATGGATGGGGAAACTGAGGCTCAGGGACAGCTGGTGAATCACTCAGGTCCACACACCTGCTGAGTGACAGATCCAGGTAGGCATGGTTCACGGTGCGAGCCCTTACTCTGAACTGCAGTTCTCCAGTACAGAGTTGTTCACTGCTCCCGCTCTGTGCTCTAATCTCAAGTTGACTGACAATGAAATCTGAGCTTTCTACTGGGAGCGAAAGTTTAGCAACTTGTCTGCTTTCTAACAGAAATGATAGATCCTGGTCTCCTGTGTCCAAGGTGTGGCTGGATTTTTACAAAGCAGAGGTAGAGGGAAGCCATGCCAGGGGTTGCTGGAAGCCTAGGGAAGGTTTCTGGGATCCACAGTCTGGCTTGGAGGTTGAGGGCATTGAGGAGTCTTTTGTAGTGGCTGAGACTTCCTTGGGAACAACAGGACCTAGCCCCAGGGCCTTTGGTTTCCAGGGCAGATGCCTTTAGCATACCAAGGACACTTGGCCAGCCCTGGGCCCAGCTCTGCCAGGCTGAGAGAGTGGGGGTATTTTCAGGAGGGCTGGACTTCTCCCATCTTCCCGTTCCCATGCCCTGGCTTTGCCCTCCCCAGGGGTACAAGGGAATGGCCTGTGGCTGGGCCTTCAAACACGTTCCCCTCCTCCATGTCCAGGCCCCACCTTGTGAGGCCGAGTCTCACCGTCTTAGGGATTTATAACTTCCGGCTGCTTCAGCGACTTCTGATTTATTAGCGAAGCAGCAGCTTCTAGGCCTGGCCTTAAGTTTCTCTGGGTGGAGGAAGAGTTGGGGAAAGAAACGTCAATGGTCCTCTACCCAGCAAGAGGGCAAGATGCTCCTCTGTAAAGAAAACCCTGGAGTGAGTTCTGCTTTTGGAATTGGAACTCCAGAATTAAGTGAAGACCCCTTAAGGGTTCTGTTTCCTGTCTTGATGGGGACCAAGGAGGGTGGAGTATGAGTGGAATCAGGGAAGAGGATTTGAACGTGGACTTCCCAGCACATTGCCTGGGCTGGAATCCCCGCTCCTTATTAGGGGTGTGAGCTTGGGGAAGTTATCTAACCTTAAGGGGCTTAAGCTTCCTTATCTGTAAAGTGTGGTTGTGACAGTATCAACTTCATAGAGCTGGTGTGAGGGTACGATGAGGCGATGCCCATGTAAGAAGCATGTGCCTTGGAGGAACATTGTGAATGCCCAGCAAGTGCTTGCCTTCCTTGATATTGTTTTACCCATAGCGTCTAGAACAGTGCCCGGCACATACTGGAGTTCTGATAGATGTCTGCGAGTAAATACAAAGGAAGTGCATCCAAATGAAATGACGCTGCAGCCAAAGAACAGACTCCTAAATAACTGAAAAATATGACCTGGCACTGTAATTGATGACATTCCCTGTCTGTTTCTGGAGAGGCATTCACATTCGCTTTGGGGCACTTGGGCAGAGCAGGCCTGCCTTTGCAGGGGAGTCACATTTAAAGCAGAGAGGCCTTTCTCCCTGGGTACCTGGCCCAGCCCCCTGATGGAGGCCAGCGTCCTCTGCCTTTACAAGATAAGGTTGGGGTGGGATACAGGGTGGTCGGGATTGTGGTTTTTCTCTGATCACGTTGAGAAGTTCCTAAAAATCTAAAGTCCCCCTTTCCCTCTTTACTGCTACTTGGTGATCTGGTACTAAAGAATTAAAATTTCCTAAGGAAGTAAAATTTCATATTTAAAACAGGACTTGATTTCTCCATCTGAACAGTAGGAATGAGGACCCTGACCTCTGAGAGGGGCTTATAGGGAATAACACGGTGCTAGAAGTTGGGTGAGCTGAGCCAGGCAGCGCTGCAGGTTTAGAAATGAGGATCCACTCACCGGCTCCCAAAGGAGTCATGCCAAATAGTGGGGTGTGGGAAGAATCTTCACAAAGCACATGAGTTCACCCCATCAGCCGTGAACCAACAGATCCACAGGACCAGACGGCAAAGGAGAGGAACATGCTCTAAGTCTCCGAAGCATCTGCCTGCCCAGTCCCTGTCACGCTGATTCACAAATGGGCTGGGGCCAGTCATGGAATGCACGTTTGAAGGCCAAGTATGTTTAAGCTGGAGGAACAGGAAGCCAAATCTCCTTAGCGGGAAAGAGCTGGGCTCTGGGGAGCCTACCAGATGGGGGTTAAAGCAGGCCTGTGAGCCCAGGCCGGTTCCTCTGCCTCTCTGCCTCGGCTTTCTCGCCTGTGAAGTGGGTGGATATTGGCTTCCACATCTGGTTCTTGCTAGGAGAACATGAGCTGATGCAGGGAAGGGGCTTGGCACAACAGACGTTAACTGAGGTAATGTGATGATCTTGGCGTTTTAATTCAGACTCCATGAGGAGCATCAAGGTCAGGAATGCTCCCTGGTCCACTTTCGCTTTGAGTTTCAGGTAGCTGGTGTCACTTCGGAGTGGTTGGAAGAAGACTCTCTCCCTAGCTGCGTGCCGGGAGGCGCCCTTTCGACCTGGAGACCTGGGGTGAGCCTTCCTGTCCTCGCTGACTTCTGCTAACCCCCTTCCTGGGGAATTGCTGCACAAGTTGAATTTTAAAGGGCTAGGATTGTTTCATGGATTTAAAATGCAGAACCTTGCCAGCCTCCCTGCCTGCTGGGTTCTGTTCTGAGCAGAAAGACTGCAGCTTATTAGGAGGATCTGTTGGGGTGGGCAAGGAAGGTGAAGGGAGTGGGATACCATCCCGGACTCAGAGGGCCACACTCAGGGGATCAGAGACGGCACTGGGTTGGTTGGGGCACTGAGTCAGGGATGGATCTGGGGAGCACGCAGGGCCCTTATTGCCTGGCCCTCAGGGCAGACTGTGGGGCACAGGACACAGAAGAGAAGGAGTGGGGAGGAGTTATGGAGACCCGAGATTTACCTTCGGAGCCCCTTCCCTCCCTGTCTCGTCTCCTGCAGTCTGCTGGTCACAGGGCTGCCGCACTGGCTGGGACGGCCAGCTGGACCTGGAGACGCTGGTGGCTGTGGACTCCCCAGCTTGGAGCAGCTCCTCTTTGGTAAGTGGCTGAGCCCTACTGCATTCTCCCCACGAGCAGCCCCAGCCTCCACTCAGGTCTGGTTTGAGCCAGCCTCCAGAGGAGGTGCCTGCAGAATGCTCAGGTGGGCTCCTGGCCCTGGACTCTCAGCAGCCCCCTTCACTCTTTCTGCTCTTCATGATCCCTTCCCAGTCCCCCTTCTTGGGCAGCTGGGGCACAGGAGGTAAGAGTGGAGGACCCTGACCCCCTACGGTCTCCTTTGCAGGCCAGTTCACTCTGTGTCAGTGGGGATTATGTGATCCCAGGGCCTGGACCCTTGTCGCTAGGGACCAGGAGCAGACCCCGGGTGCTGGGTAGGGTCGCCTGTCAGCAGACCCTAGACCCCTGTGTCTGCTCCAGAGACTCTTAGAGACTCCATGAGCCCCAGAACTCCACATCTGGAGTAAGTAGTTACCTGCATCCATGAGTTGGAGGGGGCTTGACGCAATTGTCACCTTGCCTGGCCATGCTGGCAGCTCACCGACCATGGTCAGCAGGGGTCCTTCACATTGAGGGAATTGGGGTCAGATGGAGCCATCTGATATGGACTCTCCTTCCCCCTAGGGATGGGCAGAGGACACAGGAAAGATGACTGTCTGGGGAACTGGGCGGGCGCCAGCTCGTGGGGGTGGGAGATCCTGGCGGGGGGAGGGGCAGTGTTTGAGGCAGGTCCTGGTCATTTCCTCAGTGCCGGAGTCTGGGGAGTCAGGCTCTTGCCTGGTGAGGCCTCTTTAAGGATCTCAGAGCTCAGGATAGGAGGCTTCCACAGCTGTCTGCAGGTTAAATCCTGGGGTGCAAGGAATACTTGTTTAGCTCCCAAAACTCCCAGGAGTCCCCAGAGAACAGCAGTCTAGTGTAGAAGCCGCTTAGGTCTTCAGGGTGTGTGGCGAGCACTGGACAGGGGCCGGGCGTTTCCCTGGGCCCCCTGGAGACCGGCTCTTCCAAGGGAACGAGCCCGTGCCCCTGCCGAGGAGGCGCCTGACCGCCGGCCGCCCTTGCCCGCAGACCTCGCCCCGTGGAGAAGCAGCCCCATGAAGGTGCCCAGCCATGCAATGTTCCTGGAAGGCCGTCCTCCTCCTTGCCCTGGCCTCCATTGCCATCCAGTACACGGCCATCCGCACCTTCACCGCCAAGTCCTTCCACACTTGCCCTGGGCTGGCAGAGGCGGGACTGGCAGAGCGGCTGTGCGAGGAGAGCCCCACCTTCGCCTACAACCTCTCCCGCAAAACCCACATCCTCATCCTGGCCACCACGCGCAGCGGCTCCTCCTTCGTGGGCCAGCTCTTCAACCAGCACCTGGACGTCTTCTACCTATTTGAGCCCCTCTACCACGTGCAGAACACGCTCATCCCCCGCTTCACCCAGGGCAAGAGTCCGGCCGACCGGCGGGTCATGCTGGGCGCCAGCCGCGACCTCTTGCGGAGCCTCTACGACTGCGACCTCTACTTCCTGGAGAACTACATCAAGCCGCCGCCGGTCAACCACACCACCGACAGGATCTTCCGCCGCGGGGCCAGCCGGGTCCTCTGCTCCCGGCCTGTGTGCGACCCTCCGGGGCCCGCGGATCTGGTCCTGGAGGAGGGGGACTGCGTGCGCAAGTGCGGGCTGCTCAACCTGACCGTGGCGGCGGAGGCCTGCCGCGAGCGCAGCCACGTGGCCATCAAGACGGTGCGCGTGCCTGAGGTGAACGACCTGCGCGCCCTGGTGGAAGACCCGCGGTTAAACCTCAAGGTCATCCAGCTGGTCCGAGACCCCCGCGGCATCCTGGCTTCGCGCAGCGAGACCTTCCGCGACACGTACCGGCTCTGGCGGCTGTGGTACGGCACCGGGAGGAAGCCCTACAACCTGGACGTGACGCAGCTGACCACGGTGTGCGAAGACTTCTCCAACTCCGTGTCCACCGGCCTCATGCGGCCCCCGTGGCTCAAGGGCAAGTACATGTTGGTGCGCTACGAGGACCTGGCCCGGAACCCCATGAAGAAGACCGAGGAGATCTACGGGTTCCTGGGCATCCCGCTGGACAGCCACGTGGCCCGCTGGATCCAGAACAACACGCGGGGCGACCCCACCCTGGGCAAGCACAAATACGGCACCGTGCGAAACTCGGCGGCCACGGCCGAGAAGTGGCGCTTCCGCCTCTCCTACGACATAGTGGCATTTGCCCAGAACGCCTGCCAGCAGGTGCTGGCCCAGCTGGGCTACAAGATCGCCACCTCCGAAGAGGAGCTGAAGAACCCCTCGGTCAGCCTGGTGGAGGAGCGGGACTTCCGCCCCTTCTCGTGACCCAGGCGGCGCGGGTGGGGGCGGGAGGCGCACGGTGTCGGTTTTGATAAAATGGACCGTTTTTAACTGTTGCCTTATTTCCCCCTCCCTCTCCCGCCCCATCTTCGTGTCCCTCCTGCCCCCACTCCCTTCTGCCCCTTTTTGTCTCTGAAATTTGCACTACGTCTTGGACGGGAATCACTGGGGCAGAGGGCGCGTGAAGTGGGGTCCTGCCCCCACCCCACCCCATTCAGACACACGGATGTTGGGTCTCTGTGCGGACGGTGACAATGTTTACAAGCACCACACTTACACATCCACACACACGCACACAGGCATCCGCGAGGAGAGGCACCCGGGGCTACGCGACTTCTCAAGCGTTTGAATGGATGAGTGGTCGGGTATCCAGTTTTTGCACTGTCTTACTATTCAAGGTAAGAGGATACAAACAAGAGGACCACTTGTCTCTAATTTATGAATGGTGTCCATCCTTCCCCCATCCCTGCCTCCTGCTCCCACTTACCCCTTAGAGCAGCGAAACTGCCCCCTCCTGCCCGCCCTTGCCTGTCGGTGAGGCAGGTTTTTACTGTGAGGTGAACGTGGATCTGTTTCTGTTTCCAGTCTGTGGTGATGCTGTCTGTCTGTCTGAGTCTTGTGGCTGCCCCTGGACCAGTGATGACTGATGAATCTTATGAGCTTCTGATTGATCTTGGGGTCCATCTGTGATATTTCTTTGTGCCAAAAAGAAAAAAAAAAGAGTGGATCAGTTTGCTAAATGAACATTGAAATGCTTTATCTGTGTTTTCTGTAAATAAAAGAGTGCAATTATCTCTGTGTGTGATTATGGGATGTTCTGAGTGGGAACAAGAGGGCTTCAGCGGGGTCTGGGTATTCCTGGTTTTGGGGAGGACAGTGAGAAGGAGGTGGAGGTGGAATTAAATGACAAGTATGCCTTTCAGAACTCTTGTCACCCTCAACACTGAATTTAGATTTTTTTTTTTTTCCCCATCAGTCAGTTGAGACTTGGTAAGTTAGCAGTCTTTTTTTTTTTTTTTTTTTTTTTTGAGACAGAGTCTTGCTCTGTTGCCCAGGCTGGAGTGCAGTGGCATGATCTCAGCTCACTGCAACCTCTGCCTCCCAGGTTCAAGCAATCCTTCTGCCTCAGCCTCCTGGGTAGCTGGGATTACAGGCATGCACTATCATGCCTGGCTAATTTTTTGTATTTTTTCATAGGGATGGGGTTTCATCATGTTGGTCAGGCTGGTCTTGAACTCCTGACCTCATGATCCTTCCTCCTTGGCCTCCCAAAATGCTGGGATTACAGGTGTGAGCCACCATGCCTCGCCAAGACCAGGTAACTTATAGCCAGGGATGATGTTGAAAGTCTCTAACAAGTGGTATGGTTTGCCGAGTCAGAGTAGCTGTAGGTAAGAATGACATCCTGGGATCCCTTCTTGTGCTAAATGCTACCCATTTGGTTGGTGGGTTTGAGTCTCGGATAGCCAGGGAGGGGAAACTTCAAGAAGTGGGGAGCCTCAGGATAGTGGCTGCTGACCCACAGGCCTGGAAGAATTTCACTATTTGAACAACTGGTACAGGTTTACTGGTGTCTACATTGGCAGAAAATCTGCTTTGCTTACTTCCCTTCCCTTCCTTGGCAATCTAGCAGGTTCCTCCAAGCAGCTTTCCCAGCCCTTATTCCAAGAAAATAGCCTGTTCCTGATGTGGCTGCAGGTCACAGCTTTGTTTTCCTGGGACAATGCAGTTTCTGGTGAATAGGCAGCCCCAGGGGTCCTAGCCAATTGGAAGAAGAGCTTCCTGAGGAAACAGTCCTGCACTATTTTACATGGGTCAGGAGGATGTAGACAGTTCAACAGCTCTAGCAAATGCCTTAACTAATAGTGGCTTAATCAAGATAGATATTTTAAAAAAATTATTGGGGTAAAATAACAGAATATAAAATTTACCATCTTAACCTTTTTAAGGTGTACCATTCATTAAATACATTCATAATGTCATGTACCACCATCCAGCTCTGTAATTATGTTCATTTCGTAAAACTGAAACTCTGTACCCATTAAACACAAACTCCCCACCACCCACCTCCAGCCCTTGGAAACCACCATTCTACTTTGTCTCTACGAATTTGACTACTCTAGTGCCTTATGTAAGTGGAATCATACAGTATTCATCCTTGGATGACTGGCTCATTTCACTTATGTAATGTCCTCAAGGTTCATCCACGTTGTAGCATATGTCAAAATCTCCTTCCCTTTTTAAGGCTGAATAATATTCCATTGTATGGACATACCATACTTTGCTTATCCATTTGTCCCTAGATGAACACTTGGGTTGCTTCCATGTTTTAGCTACTGTCAATAATGCTGCTGTGAACATGGGTGTATCTCTTGAGACCCTGCTTTCCATTCTTTGGCTATATCCCCAGAAAGAGAATTGCTGGATCATGTGGCAGTTTTATTTTTAATCATTTGAGGAACTGCCATACTATTTTCCACAGCATCTGAACCATTTCACGCTCCTACCAACAGTGCACAAGGGTTTCAGTTTTTTCCACATCCTCACCAATACTTGCTATTTTCTTTATTTTTTGGAAAGTTAGCCATCCTAATGGGTATGAAGTGGCTAGATAGTCTATTTTTCTTTCATTCTCACTTAAAAGGCATAAACTGTTCAGGTCTGGTAGGGTGGCTCCCAGGTCATACACCCAGATATCAGGGGTCCTGGCTCTTTCTGTGTTGTGCTGCTCCATCTTTCTAAGGTGATGCCCATGGCTATATGGTCCTAGATGGCTTGCCAGGCAGCAGGAAGAAGAAAAACAGGAAAGTAGAGCACACCTCTGCCATGTATGAGCACAACCTCAAAATTACAATCACGTTCACTCATGTCTAATTGGCTTGGAGCCTGGTCACATGGCCATACTTAACTGCAATGGAGGCTGGGAAATGTAGTCTTTTATCTGGGTGGCCATAACTGTTAAGGTGGTTGATAAGTCCAAAGCTGATCTCCCTGAAATTCAGTTTCTCTTCTGCACAAGAGAGACAGGGTAGTTTCCACCATTATTCTTTAAGAGTAGTAAGCTGACTTGGAAAAACCTCTGTTGGGACTGGTGGGCTGGTCCTTGGGCTCTTCTCAGCCTCTGATCCATAGGAGATGCTTCCCCAGTTGGCTTCATGACATCATTGCCTCACTCAGTACCCCTAGCTGGCTGTTCCAGTACCCAGGGAAGGCCTGCTCCAATGGCCACAGCTGGTTGATCCTTTCCCTGTTACAGAAAGTGATGTTGTGGCACTTTCTTCACCTCTGACTGCCCTGCAGTGGACTGTCCCTGAGCCACAGGCTTCTCTCCTCTGGGTGGGTGGCTTCAGGTTGGAAGTTGGAGACACTGGAGATCCTGGCCTTGCTGGAGAGAACAACTCCCTTCAACTGCCATAACAGAAGACTTTAATAAGGCTGGCTGGGGCTTTCAGAGGAAAGCCCTGTTTAGTAATGGATTCATTCATTCATTCATTTATTCATTCAAGTATGTGCAAGTACTGGAATTACTGGTATTCCTTCAAGAAACATAGTCTAGTGGAAGGCAAAAAGGCAAAAAGATGGGGAGAGCCTGGGTGAAGTATTCTGCCTACGCGGGCGGGGCTGGGCCCCATACAAACTTTGTCCTGGAAAACACAAGGCCACTGTAATGAGCCACATGTTGGTTTTCTAGGCCTCATGGTCTCATTTTACCTGTCTTTGAGCTTAGAGAAATCAGGGAGGTTTTTCCTAAGGAAGAGGATCAATGCAGCTCCCTGAATTGAGTCCTGGGAATGCAGGAGCTGGCCCTATGGAAAAGCTGAGGGAGAAGCAGTGCAAAGGCACAGAGTGGGGAAGTCCTGGGGTGTTGATGGCCGCACAGCCTTCGGGCAGGGGTGTGTGGGGGCAGACCATGTACCAGTTCCTGCCCTCCGCTCTCAAGCCTAGAAAGCTTACCAGTTCACCAAGGGCAGTTCAGCCTTCAAGGGATTCGTTCCATGCCCACAGGACAGATTGAGAAACCAGAGGGCTCACCTGCTTTCAGGATAATGACCAGACTCTCCTAGCACTGTTTGAAGCCTGCACATCCCAGCCCCTGACACCCCAAGCTTCATCTAGTACCGCGGTTCCCTCCACTCTTCACTCTCCAGCCTTCGTGCTTTCTGGCGATTCCATGAACACATGGTGATAGGTTGTTGCAGTTCCAGCCTCAAGTTTGTTCATGCCTCCTTGTACCTGCGCTGTTTGGCAGTATCTCCCCACACTCACTCTGGGTTCAGCCACATGCCTTGCTCCGGTCAATGCAGCAGTAGCAAGTGCAGAGATGTGAAAAGCACTTGAGCTTTGGAGCTTGTTCTTTCTTGCTATCTCTTCGAATCCTTCAACTGCCATGTGCAGGAAGCCCAGGGTAGCTTGCTGAAGAAGAAAAGACTACAAGGTAAAGAAACAAGGAGCCCCAGGCATTGATCAGCCAGTTCCTCACTGACTTAGCAACTGAGGAAGATGCATGAGTGAGCCCCAGCCAACATCAGCCATGACCTGACCCAGAGGGTTGGAGCCATCTGGCTGAGGCCAGGCAAATTTCTGACCTACAACATCGTGGGTTAAAAAATGGATGAGGCCAGGCCGGGCGCGGTGGCTCAAGCCTGTAATCCCAGCACTTTGGGAGGCCGAGGCGGGTGGATCATGAGGTCAAGAGATCGAGACCATTCTGGTCAACACAGTGAAACCCCGTCTCTACTAAAAATACAAAACATTAGCTGGGCATGGTGGTGCGTGCCTGTAATCCTAGCTACTCAGGAGGCTGAGGCAGGAGAATTGCCTGAACCCAGGAGGCGGAGGTTGCGGTGAGCCGAGATCGCGCCATTGCACTCCAGCCCTGGGTAATGAGAGCGAAACTCCGTCCCAAAAAAAAAAACCAAAAAACAAAAAACAAAAAAACAAAAAAATGGATGAGGCCAGGCGTGGTTGGCTCACGCCTATAATCCCAGCACTTTGGGAGGTTGACAGGGTTGGATCACCTGAGGTCAGGAGTTTGAGACCAGCCTGGCCAACATGGTGAAACCCTGTCTCTACTAAAAATACAAAAGTTAGCTGGGTGTGGTGGTGCACATCTGTAATCCCACTGGGAGGCTGAGGCAGAAGAATCCCTTGAACCAGGGAGGTGGAGGCTGCAGTGAGCTGAGATCACACCGCTGCACTCCAGCCTGGGCAACAGTGTGCGACTCTGTTTCAAAAATAATAAATAAATAAATAAATAAATAAAGGATGTTGTTTTAAGGCACTAAGTTTGGAGTGACTTGGTACGCAATGAAAGCTAACTGATACCCATCTTTCTCTATCGCACTGCAGGGTCTTTGCATGGACTGTTTCTTATACCTGGGCTGTTCCTGGTCTCCTCTTTACCCAGCTGATGTCTCCCTGCTCTTTGGATCTCAGCTTCATTATCAACACTTCCTTGGTTTTACAAGACTCGTTCAGTTATCCTGATGGTAGGCCCTTATATAGCAGACTATATGCCTTACCTGTCTGGATTATAGACCCTTAGAGCACCTTGTATATCTCTTTTACAGTGTTTACCACAGTTGTAATCATACTTTTTATTACAGGACCTAGCACACAATAGGTGTCCAATAAACAGCGGTTGAATGGATAGAAGGATAAATAAAGCAGGTGTTCCCTCTCTGATGAAAGAGCTGTCTTGTCCAAGGCCTTCACTTGGGAGTGGGCAAGTCCTCTAAGGAATCTGAATGAGACCCGCTGCAGGCTGCTTTACATGAGTTAGAGGAGGCCGAGC